TTTAATTTTATTGTTTAAAAGTACAACTGGTGGCAGGCGATATAGACCTGACTGCGGGTGGGCCTCTTGGCTATCGCAGCTATGAAAGTGAAAGAAACGTTCTAAGCGCGCGCGGGACGAGCACGGTCGGCTGCAGTGGGCAAGAGAGGTCCCTCTGACGGGGCGCTATAGCGGGCCGTCGTCGTAAAGGCGTGCGTGTGCGAGTGTGGCTAGATCCACCGGCACTGGGATGATCCACTCTGGGCGCCCCGCCCCGCCACGCCCCGCCACGCCCCGCCACGCCCCGCCACGCCCCGCCCCGCCACGCCCCGAGCTAAGTGTGTCAGCAACAGCAGCAGGTGGTGCGGCGGGGCCCCGGCGAAAACGAATTGACGGTTCCAGTGCACAAGTGACAGTGCGCGGGGCGGCCTGGCCAGGCCGTTGCGTGAGCCGCTCGAGAGTGTTAGTCTCTGGAGGAGACTCTCCAGCACGCGTCGTCGCGGCCCCTCGCCCCGGATGTCTGTCCCCATCACTGGACCGTTGTTTTTGTTTTTTAAAGATTTTGGTTCTTATTTTTGCCTCCCGCTGGCCGAAGCCGAATACATAATAACCGCCAAACTGACGATGCGATTTTTAGTGTGGGCGCTGCTTGTGTATAAACTTTTCACGAAAACAAAAATTTTATAAGGAATAAAATATCGTAGTAAATAATAATATGTTTTAATTCATTTTTTTCCCTTTTCCAGAGCAATATGCACGCGTCGTTCCCCTACGAACCTCCGCGGTCGCGCGACTACAGCGTGAGCCGGCGGGGGGACCTGATGGTGGCGCACCCCCTGGAGCAGGACATCGGCCTGCACGCCTCGCTCGGCAGCGATGACAACCAGATCTCCACCAACAACATGATGGCCCAGTGCAACACCTTCTCCATCCAGAGGCAGATCCAGGAGGTGCTCAAGGAGGCTGTCGTCTACGACGGGGTGAGCACAATATAAATCCTTTACTTATTTAGAGCCTGTCATTAGGTAGCCCAAGCCCAGTCTCAACATTCATGGCCGGAAAGTCCCGTACCGTACAGTACTTACATACCGTACGCCATACTGTGCGACGCACTCTTGACGAAACCACGAAACGCGGAACTAAAACACTTGCTGGATGAGTTTGTTGTTTATAAGGCCCTGTGTCATTACGGTACGCGCTCGGTACTGCCCCGGGCGCCATCCCCGCTCCCCCCTCTTTCACCTTTTTCGGATTAACGGCACGTGACTTGTACCGATCACTCCTTAATAGACAATCTCTAGCCTTTTGCGTGAAACGAATTGCTGTCGTCAACTTCAGCAAACGGTTCGAAAAATTCAAAAGCTTTATTGTATCGTACGATGTGTGTGGTGGATGGCTTATATATTTTCACCGATGCCTTTCGTGCGCTCGAGTGACGAATCGCTTTCAAATGGTTCCGAAAGGGTCAGTCAGTCCGTCTGAGCCGCTCAGCGGTCAAGCAGTGGCGGCCCCGTGGGCCCCACGCTGAGAGCGTGGCGGGGCGGGGCGCTACTGTGTGCCGCGAGCCGCG